ATGCTTCACACCCTATAATATGTATTTTATTTCAAAACTCCTTCCATTCCCCCAACACTGGATCCAGAAGTTGCATTCTGTTTTCCTATAGTTTCAACATCCCTTGGACACTTGGACTTTGCTCAACACCCTCCTTCACAAGGACAGCTATCCACAGCTCCATTTATTCATCTTTATCAGGAATTTACTAAGAACTATGGATAAAAACCGGGTGCAGTGGCATGTGCCTGTAATCCCTGCAGCTCGGGAGGATGAGACAGGAGAACTGTAAGTTCAGTTCAGCCTCAGGAACTTAAGAGGCCTTAAATAAATTGACAAAAAAGTAAAAAAGGGCTGGTATGTGCTCAGTGGTTAAGCACCCCTGGGTTCAATCCCTAGTATCAAAAACAAACAAGCAAAAAACTTAGGGTATAATGATGGATTAAGAAGTGCTCTTGCCATCAGGGAGGCTGATGGTTCACTGTGAGAGACATTAATGTAAATAAATTGTTCTTAAGACTTTCCCCACAATCCATAGCTCATTGGTGGTGGGACTGAGACTTAGCATCCAGTTTTTGTGCCTGTAGTTTAGTCTGATTAATTCCCCACCATACCATCTCTCCGTCAAACACTGGAAAGGCCTTGGGAATGGATTAACAGCTCACATTAGCGAAGCGGAAACACTGAGCTCTGAGTTTGTACCCTGGAACCTGCATGGGTGGGTATTTCACAGGGGTGCATTGTATTTCCAGACACGGTTGATTCTGGAAGGTTGCTTGAATGTTTCTGGTACCTGTAATTCATTGTTCATGACTGGCTAGGATGGTTACTTTTGGTCTGTGTGTTGGGTCTGAATGGCTTACAAACTCCAACCTCCTTAACTTGCCATCAATGAATTTAATCAACATATTTTTATTGAGCACACATTATGTGCCAGGCAGTGGACTAGGTTTACACATGGAAATACGAAACCATGTTTTCCCTTTCTTGAGAGGACCGAGTCCAGAGGTGGACCTAGGAGTGGCACCTAGGCAAAAGTCTTGTTAGCAGGACCTCTGGTCCTTGCCAGCCTGGAGGGCAAATCACAGTAAAGGGTTAACATTTCACTGGTTCTATGCTCACTTCTGAGGGATAGGATTCCAGTCCTTGTCGACTTCTGATAATTCTGGGTGCAATGAGAGCACGTCTTCTGTGGACTAGTCTCTGCGCGTCTTTCTCTTCTGAAGCACTGTCTTGCTGTCTTGCTGCAACTGGCTGTGGGGATGTCTCCCACTTGCTCCCACAGCCAAAGAAGCTCTGCAGTCATGGTGCCAGAGCAGCCACCATCTCTACTGGCTTTTGGGCAGGAGAGCTCCCAGCTGGCTGATGTCGGAGGTCACGCTCCAGATGGACCGTCCTGCTGTCCAGGAATCCCTTGACACTGCCTCAGCCCAGGAACCGCCTCTCATCACTGCAGAGGCTGCAGCACTGTCCCTGAGGACCCTGCACTTGGCAACATGAAGTTATAGCGCCCCCTAGGCATAAAGTGATAGCTGCTCTACCACTAAAGGGAGGGAGTCTGGCCACGGACCAGGGGGAGTGAACATAGAGGAAATGGCTGCATCGTTGATGTCTGTGTTTGCTTCTACAGTACTTCCAAGTCTTTCATTAGGAACTCAAAAAAAAATCACATCATTCTTTAAGAGTTTGTGAGAAAGGAGCCATATTTAGATAAGACATCTCCTTCCCCATTCCTTCCTTTCATTCTAAATTTACCTCCCTTCCATACAGGCAAAAAGACTGTATTCCCAGGGGGAATATTTGGATATCCCTTTGGGGTCTTTACGCCCCTGCCACATGCTCTGACCAGTGCAGGAAGAGTTGTTGATATCGATGGCCATGATAACCCAAATGATTAGGTTAGGGGGAGGGGTCCATCCCCCTCCCCCTGTGCCCCCCTCCCCCGTAGGCCTACAGTCTCCCTGCTGTCTGCCATGGTGGAGGTGGGGGGATAATCATAAAGGTAGGAAACCCTCTTCCATTTACACCCAAGATATACTCCCCAAGCCTGTGTCACCATTAGTAAAGCTGATATTTTAAAAAAATTTTTTTTTAGTTGCAGATGAACCCAATACCTTTATTTTGTATATTTTTATGTGGTGCTGAGGATTGAACCCAGTGCCTCACACATTAGGTGAGCGCTCTACCACTGAGCCCTAGCCCCAGCCCAGTAAAGTTGATATTTTTTTGATCAACTTTATGTCTACTCTTAGTCTAATTTGAAACCTCAGTTGGAAGTGGATGATGAATCCAAACCTATAACATATTACGTTTCCATTTTTCTTGCTTTTCATTTATTGTCCTAAATCCAAGGATGGGAACACCAGAGTCCCCAGCAGCCAGCCTAAGACTTGGGAGCCATGTCATTATCGTCTCTCCCCTCAAGGAGGCTTTTACTGAGCCAGTGGGTCTTGAATTCTGTGCATTTCCCCCCTTCTTTTGAGCTTTTCTGACTACATCTCAAGTTCTCTTTTGAGGTTTAAATTTTAGGTTAAGCTCAGTTACTCAACCCAGTACCCCTGCTACTGGTAGTGATAATATTTTTAGGACGGGGTTTTTCAGTTTCAGAACCACTGATATTCTGAGCCAGGTAACAGTCTGGATGTTGTCCTGTAGAACACACAGTGGCATCCTTGGCCTCTGTACTCACTAGAGGCCAGTAGCACTCTCTCCCCCATCTCTAGTTGTGAGAATTCAAAGCATTCCAGACTTGGTCAAATATCTTCTGAAGAACAAATTCACCCCTGATTAATGGTCATAGAATCATTTTTACGGTGCAAACAGGAGGTACTCATAACCTCTGTGATGCCTGCTTGACTTTAAATAGATTTCCTACCACCCCATTCATATTCTCAAGCATTCTATGAATCAGCTATATGATCCAGCCAGCACCTCTGTCTCTCAATTCTATTCCATCTCTGTACTTACAAATTCTACCTTTACTGGTGTACTGTGTTTGAAAAATGATCAGGCTCCCAAAGCAAATTTCTCTAGA